CCTGGGACACCCTCCCGCAGTATAAAAACTCAGAGATTCGACATATCGATTAATGGATTTACCACTTTGCCACCGATAAAAAATAACAGTCTGTTTAACTTAAACATCATCTCGAATCGAATAGCCAAGCTAGAGGCTAGTTCGTCTCTCCCAAAGCTGTCAAGACTCGACTTGATTGAGTGCGAAAGCATCGAAAGCCATGGCTATAAATTAAATGACATAGTCGAATAGTTTGAATCTCACTCGACACATTCATCTTTTCTCCCGATGAACGCGTTCGTATGGCGAGAGGTTAAGTAAAAAAAATATGCTGGCATCGTGCGCGCGCAGGTGGCTTCACGCAAATCTCAATGCGCGTGTCCTGGAAAATTCATTAGAGACTGAGTTGTCCTCGCTTGAGATGGTGCCATTCTTACGTCGTTCTTTTCTAAAATGGCATTATCTTCATTCAGGGAAATTTCCTTTAACGTGAACAATCGGTGCCTGTACCGTGTCTCGTAAATATTCCTATTCCATTCCAGTACTCCCTTCCCTGCAATATTTTCTGAACGAAAAGAAAAAAGAGGAAAGAGTGAGGTCACTAAGAGTTCCATTTGAGAGTTCCATTTGAGAGTTATTTATCAAAGTGAACTGGAAATATATCCAGTACTTGATCATGCGTTTCATACACTTGACTAAAGAGAATATTTTTCTCCGCTTACGTAACTTAAATGTCCTTCAGTCACGTTAATTGCATCTTCTTCAGGTTGGAATCCGATCTCGGAGATCCCCCCTGGATTCTTCAGCGACATGGAGGGATTAAGGGATTATTACTGCATGGGCTGTTCCCTCGGACCTACATTGGCGACGCGGACTTTCGATTTCCACAATGGACGCATTCGAATTTTTCAATTAGAGGATAACTCGATCTCAACCTTGGAGGTGGATGCAATCACAGGTATCGTCTTTGCACTTCACATACATTCAGTGACCGAGGAATTCCTAATTTCTCTTGTCACCATTTCAAAGGGTGCAGCTGCGGGAAATAAATGTCATTTGTACTGGAGAGATTCCCCATTTCGTTCCAGGTTTGCAGCCCAGCACGCAAATATATCTTAGAGAGAATGAAATCGAGGTATTGGCAATGGATTCATTTCGCCCCATGCTTGACGTTCTCTCACAAGGTGCCGGGTTCATCGAACTCTATGGTGAGATATTGCTTGCCCACAGTGCAGAATGATGCTGTCTCTCACGTTCTCAAACTCCGGTTGTCTGTCTTGCAGGTAATCCCGTGGAGTGTAATTGCACTATGGCCTGGATAGTGCAGAATCCCGATTACCTGGCAAGCGTAAAGGGTCGCTGCAAAAATGGAACTAATTTTCTAAACCTGGATCCAAACGACTTTCAAGACTGTGTCAATTAAGATCCTCCCATGTGAGGTGTCTGATTACACTTGCATCGATTCCTTTCGATTCCGAGAAATTGAGAATAAAGTGATTTACATTGGCTATTAGTAACTCTTCCGCGTTCAGACGTTTTCCCAAGAAGAACGTCGCATACTGGAAAATGAATGCGTTTCCCATCCTGGGAACGAATTATTTGGACTACAGGAAATGTCAAATTTGGTTGATATCAGAAGGAAGGGGCCATGAACGGCTTGAGGTCATCCCCGCAGCGACAACCATCTCCAAAAATGTTCCTGCACGATGCCGTTATGAAGGAATCGAGTTTCTGCGGTGTTTCTTTGGCCTTGGTCCCCTTCCAGTTAGGTTTTCTCCATCGCAGCGGTTAAAGGTCGGGCGATAATCCCCACTCATCCTGCTACTTCATGTGGATAAACTCTCCCTGCTCATTTGCTTATTTTCATGTTTTATGATGAATTGCAACATGTGGAAATTTTACTTCCGCTAGGAGAGAAAAAATGGCCTGGAAAAGGAGCATCGAGGCAATCCAATCCACTCCGGTCCTCTCTCTCGCCACTTCCCAGTCCACTAATTCTGACCAATCACATGAAAGGCTCCTTAGTGTGAAAAACAAATGAAACATTGACAGAAATAGAAAGCAATTATTTTCATATCCGACTCTCTCTGCATCTGATAGCACACAATGAACGAGGCCGGTGCAGGCTTGCAGAAATTCCAGGAGCATTCGGCAAGCAATTCGATTCCAGGAAGATTATCTCGCTTTTCGAACGTACTTGTACAGGGTGCCTATGAAGTCCTGCAATAGCCTTCGAGATCAATAACTCCGTAACAGTGCATCTGATATGCATGAAATTCATTGGGTATACAAATGGAGTCATGGGGATTAAAAGGACAACAGTAAAAACATTTGCCACCACGCGGCGATATTCCTACAAGTGAGCGCTATACAGGATGTCGCATAAAAATAGAGCCCCCCGCCACAGCCCAAACCAAAAGTGCTATACATATGTATGATATAACATTGTAAAGCACATCTACCCAAGTAACACAGCATGTTGATGAAACGTTTCCGAAGTGTGCCTATGTTGCTCTATGTTGCAAGTTGCTGTACAACATCGAGAAAACATTGCTTCAATGTTTTCACTTGGAATGTTGCTGCGACACTTCTACGAATGTCATTGCTACATTCAACATTGAGAGAATGTTGACACTCTTCACATCGACAACGTAGCGACAACATTCTGGTACTGCATGGACTTAGGAGTTTTAGAGAATCGTAAAGTTGTCCTCCTTGCCACGAGATGGAGACGTAAGTCTCGCTTTCTCACAGTACACAAAAGAGCTCTTCTCCCTTTCCCTGGAATAGTCCCGCACAGGAATGTCTAGTACCTTGCCATATGTCTCACATTGTTTCATTATAGGAATCAATGAACACGGACACTTCATCACCTGTTATCCTCATTTTCCAGACAGATTAATGGGGTCAAGATAAAAAACTCATATTCCCGAAAAGAACCCTTTCTAAGAACTATTCAAGTTCATCCTGCAGGACAATAGAAGCGATGGTAGTGAGTCTGCGATCTCAATACTTCATATCCTTATTCTGGGTACCAGCTGAGGAAACGAAGGATTGATCTCGAGGACACTCCATAGAACATTTCTGTCGGGCTTTTTCCTGTATTGTGCAATTTAGCACATCCAGGGGAAAACATCGGAAAAATCCATGGCATTGAGAGTATTAAGTGTAAGCGGATGGGTATAGTGGCTAAGGTTTGACGATTGATATCTTAGTAAGGAGATGAGATACAATCATGAAATGTTCAGCACCACTGGATCAAGGCATCATCTAACGAATGATGAGCTTCAAAAGATTTCATCAAGTTGATAAGATCTTGGTTTCAGAGGTTTTGTCGGAATCGGTGTTTCAACTCAATAGATGGCGCTGCGATTAAGAAACTCGGTCCAATAATTTGGCAAAGGTGGCTCTATATTGTGGTCGAATTTCGTAAAGAACGGTTGCGTCCTTTCAGAGATATGATCGCTGAAAGATGTACAATTTAAATGAAACGCCCTGTATATAGGCCAAGGTTGCTCTATATTGTGGTCAAATTTCGTAAAGAACGGTTGCGTCCTCTCAGAGATATGAGCGTTCAAAGATGTACAATTTAAATGAAACGCCCTGTAGTTATCCGCTAGAAACCCAATATAATTTTCACAACAAAGAACTCGATCTCATGATGTAGTCTCCATTCCTGGTTTGGCTTTCACCCTCAATCCGCTCCGCATCCAAATTCATATTCCTGAAGGTCCCGGATCCATAATGGTTTGGCATGTGCCTTACTGACATCACTCGGCCGAAAGTCTGATGCAGCTTTCCTTCCCAGCAATTTCTCCGTACTTGCTTCCTACTCTCTCCTGTTCATCCCCGCCATGAAATGCTCACGTCCCTTTTTGAATGAATACCTATAGCGGGCTCCAAGCCACCTGGTTACTCACACGGAAAAAGTCTCTCGAAGCGTCGTCACACGATTAGATTTCTTTGCTGCAATAATGTGCGAATTTTCACAGCCGCAAGGAAAGACACAGTCCACTCTAGAAGGAGCTTCGAGGCGATCCAATCCACTCCCTCCTCTCTCCCATTTCCCAGATTCGCTCACCTTGAAGATGCAGGAATGCCTCATCCCTCTCTCCCTCTTATTCCTCTTATCTTCCGTTCGCGGGACGAGTGGACAGGATCCGTGTCCCGAATACGATAACCTCGCTCCGTGTTATTGCTCTTATAAGGATGGAATCAACACTGTGACCGTGGACTGTTCGCGGGCCACTTCAAGTGAAGGAATATTCTCTTACTTCAACAATGTTAACTGGCCCTTCACAAATCTCACGTAAGATGATGTTCCTGGGAAGATGGTGAGAAATAATTCCTTGTTTTCCTGGACGAGTTCTAGTCATGCCAAGTGAACGAAAATTATTCATTCATTTCTGGGGCCCAGATAGCCCTCTCAACCCTCTCTGCTGAATTTGAAGGGAATTCGAAAACAGAAAAGATCGGACTCAAGTGCAAAAATTCGGTAAACCCAGGCGTAAATTCCCCCTAGCTCTCTCTCGCGTGTCTTCCTCATCCTTTGTGAGACGCGTTGGTTCGGTAGTCGTGAAGAGTGGAAGTCATTCTCGCTCAGTGCCAGTGGTTCAGCTCTATATTAAAAAAATGTTAATCGTGTTGCGATGTCAATTAGTTCATTTGACGTTAGGCTAAGCTTATCTCAGGATCTGTGAACTTTCAATTATTTGGCTAAGGATAGGCCCACATGCAATCATTGTTTTGAGACTAATGACCAGACCGCCAATGGGTGAGCTAATATACCGGGTGGGGCAAAGAAAAAGCCTCAGTTATCTTTAATGCTCGAGTTTCTCGAGATTTTTTAAAATATTGCATTTACGTATCTACATAGAACATGTATCTAGCTTTCCACTGACGTTCACAGATTTGAGATCCAATTCATCAATCCGATGCAGTCACGCACAGTCTAACAGAAGTAGCGCTTGAAAAGTGCACTACCCACCAGTACCCTACAAGATGTGCCTCAGGTGACATCCATTCCTTCTCGTATGGCGAGTAGGCGACCGCTTGCATGCACTAGCTGCCATCGCGGCGTGTCACTAGCTTTTCCAGAGCCAATTCCTGTACTCTTTATCGAACTGCGTGAAAATCGTGTCATGAATCGTTATTCTGTTGACATAATTGGAAAGCTAAACGAATATTCTACACGGGGACGCTATTGCAATGTTAGCTAGTTTTGGGGTACCGGTGATGTGGAGTGATGAATATGACTGAATATTTTTTTTGGCCGACCCTGCAGCTTAGAAATTTATTTTGTCAACAATAAAATGATGAGATTCTTTCGCGCAACTTTTATTCTTTGATCACAATACCAATGCTGGTGTTGTGATCACCAGATCCTAATAATTGCCTTAGTGTTTACATTACTCCTATTATATAAGGTGAGAATAACCTCACGGTATGCTTGAAAAAAGAGGTAAGTCTATGGTAAAAGATACCCAACAACAGATAAAATACAGGGAAAATAAATGTTAAATGCAAGCAAGGCACAGGTGAAACGAGGAGAACTCTAAAACCGAAGTAATATACAGGGTAAAGAGCTGTAAATGATGGGGCAGATGTAAAATGTTGGGGTATTTCGCCAGGCCCTCAACTATGGAATGCTCGTGTGAATTATGATTGGTAGATTAAAATTACAGCAGACAGAGAGAATTTCAACATTTTCCTTCCTGCAGGGAGTTTCGCATGACCCCCAACGAAGCTGTTCGAGAGTTGCCCAAAGGAGTCTTCGGTGATGTCACTTTTCAGAAAATAACGCTCATACGAACCTCCGTTCGCCGCATCCATCCCTCAGTCTTGCTGCCTTCGAAAGATCGAATTCGGACGTTGGAAATGACGCATGGCGCCTTGGAAGAGTTCCCCTGGCACATCCTCCGGCAGTTGACCAATCTTTCGACGCTTTGGCTCTTCCGCAACGCACTGACCACTTTGCCACCACTCAAAAGTTCCAGTCTGAGGACCTTACACATCTTTGTAAATGACATAACAAATCTCGAGGCTGGCTGGTCTCTCCCAAATCTTACAGCCCTCTGCTTGGGTGAGTGCGAAAGCATTTAAGGCGATAACTCAATTATAATTTACTTCGACCATTTATTGGAAACCTTCTGCTAGTTTTATCACTTTCCTAATGCAAACGCTCGTAGGTTGAGAGGACGAGAAAAGGAGTACGCCGGTATTGTTTGCATGGAGGCTGCTCCATCGCTCAAACCGCAGGTCCAGGCTAATTTGGCCGAGGCTGTATTGTTTTGCCTTATATGCGTACAGTCACTTTTAACGGGTTCCGTTTTTTGAACTAACATTTCAATCTGATAATTAGTCTTGAACGTGAAAAACTCATGTGGGAATTAATCACAGAAATGAAAAATGAATGTGTAGCTAGCATGCGTTCATGTTTCATTTCAATGCCTCTTCTCTGTGTTGATCATTTAAGGAAATTAAGTTAAGGAACAAAGAATGAGAGTGATCCTACTAATAGGGAAGCAAACGATTATCCAAACGAAGCATTACAAAATACCTGTACTTGATAATGCGTTTAAAAAAGTTCCAAGACGTAAAATGTTATCTTTCTCGTTTCGGTCCTTCAATTGAACTTCAGTCGATTTTATTGGAACTGCTGCAGATTCTAATCCAATCTCGGAAGTCCCGGCTGGATTCTTCAGCGACATGGGGAACCTGGGAGATTTTCGTTGTGAGTACTGTGGCCTCGGACCAACATTATCGACCGGGTCTCTCAAATTCCGCAGCTCAGCCGTGCAATTTATTAGACTCGAGTACAACTCGATTTCAACTCTGGAGCCAGATGCAATTACAGGTATGATCTCTTCTCTGCACCCACATTCGGAGAAATGCTTTTTCCTTTGCCGCCAACTTCATCAGCCTCAACTGGTGACGTGGATCGGTGCAGATAGGTTTTTCCATCAGAGGGTGAAAGATAATTTCATTCCAGGTTTCCAGTCCAACACGAGGATATTCATGTCCTACAATGAAATCCGGAAACTGACGGAAGAATCCTTCCGTCCCATGCTGGAGGTGCTCTCACTGGGGAATGGGTTCATCCGTCTATACCGTGAGATCCTGCGAGTAGCATCGCTCAATGACGCTATCTTTCACTCGCCCTTTTTTTCGGTTGCCTGTCTTGCAGGTAACCCCATCGAGTGTGGATGCAGCATGGCCTGGGTGGTGCTGAATCCCGACTTCTTGGCGAGCATTGCCGGTTCCTGCCACACCGGAATGGATTTCCATGACCTGGATCCAAATATTTTTGAAAACTTTTGCGTGAGGAGAGATCCTCCTATGCCAGGCGACTATTCCACTTGGATCAATTCCTGAATGATTCCAACAATAAATGAATATTGAATCCCAGGAACCCAAAATGGACATTGGAAGTCATCATGTTTTAATTGACTTTGAAATGCGTTCAATTTGAGGATGAAGTTAGTTGCAAAGAGGAAACTCTGTCCACAGGAATTCGTACTATCCAATGTTGGGCCAAGGTCCCAGGATCTACAATAGAATGACTCCAAGTTCCCCAAGTCGTTGAAAAATCCAGACGGGATCTCGAAGATGGGATTGTAATCTGCAGAAGATTCAATAAAATTGACTGAAAACAATTTTAACTATCCATACGGAAAAGTTACTTTGGAATGTCACGAAAGCGTATGAGACGTATAATGGTATTTTTTCCCTGTTCACTTTGATAAAAAGAGCTCCAAACTCCTAGTGGCGTCAATCTCTTGTTTCTCTTCCTGCAGTGAGCATTCTAGTATGAATATTACGAAGCTATATCGGAAGCGGGAATAGTTCACGTTCAATGGAATTTTCCTGAACGAATATACAATTTAAAAAAGAGAACTAGGCAAAACTGATGAAAATAACTAATCCATTAGTGATTTCGCTAAGACAAGCGCATTAAGGGAGGCGTCAAACCGCCTGTGCCTACAGAATAACAGCATCCTAATATTCTTGTCTTCTCACAATAAGAGCGTGTAGCTAATGGAAGTTGTAAGAAGGAAATAGGAATTCACCGCGTCATTCGTTTTTGATTCGTCGCTTTCAATGCCCTTACACTCACCTAGGTAAAGGTATCAGATTTGGGAGAGACGACCCTGTCTCGATATTGGCTATTAGATTCGAAGCCACATTGAGATGCACCAGACTTGCACTTTACAGTGGTGGGTCAGCGCGTTATCATATAGTTGCAAATATATTAAATTGGTCAATTGGGGTAGGATGTCTCAGGGGAACTCTTCCAGGGCGTTTAACTCGATTTACAGATTCTTGAGTCGATCTTTCGAGGGTAGCAGGGTCGTGGGATGGAGGCTGCTCACGTTGGTCTCGAACCAGGCTTGGCTCAGGGACAGGGCGTTTTCTCGCCCCGAATCGAACTCGCACCTTTCGATCTGGATATGCCTTTCACCTTACGGCGAAGGCAATTTCCACTCCGTCTGGCATTTACTACGTAAACCAATAAATTCCTAGGGCAAACCTTTGAAAAAGTCGAGATGTTCTTTCCCGTTCCCGTATTCACCCACGACTACCGGTAGCTTTACGTAGCGTTATCAAGAGGTTGCTCTAAGGCCAACGTCAAGGTCATTATTTCAACAACTGTTCAATAAGGTAAACTTTTGCCTAGATCCCAGTAAATATTCACCAGAAATCCCGCCTACAAAGAGGCACAATAAATCTTTTTTCTTTGGGTGCAACCCACGTTAATAAGTGTGCTTATTCTCCTCGTGGTGATCTTTCATTAAGACCGAGTAGTTGGTGGAAATTTCAAAAACATACCTAAACCAAAGCGGTCTTTGGTTGGTGGGAACCTCAGTTACATCCAGAGTACGGGGTAGATCATGAGTACAAAGAAGAACGTGTTTTCAGAGTTAATCGTATATACACAGGTCTAGGTGCACAACATAGACTCGGAGGATCTGGGTTTCAACTAGTTTTATTTGAAGTGACGTGGGAATAAAATGTTCGTGCATTTCATAAC